CTGATGTTATCTGTCAAACTTTCATAGCGAATCAAAACAAACATAGTGTAGTAATAGAATTTCAACTAGAATAGGGTACGTTAATCGTTTGCTTGGGACCAATAGGCTAGTCAAGTAGTGAGCCAATTTAAAATCGTTAGTTTCGTATTGATTGTTGGTATTACGCTTATGAGGGGTTCAAGATTCGAAAAATGACGTTAAACCACCGACAAACCGACATGAATGATCATACAAATTACAAAGAAATTTTTGATCAAAGCACAAAACTGACATCTGCTGGCGTGTTCGCGGAAAATATTTGCCCTAGCCACGAACACGCGTACAAAATTTATGAATTGGTTCGTGTCCAATCTATTTCGGACAAATTATTTTTATCTAGATAAAACATTTCTATGGTTTTGACAGATGGCATCGCTGCACATTTGAATCGGCCGTTATGGATTCTATATCAAGAGTTAAGTTTAAGTTTCATGTCGGTTTGTCGGTGTCTTTCATACCTTATTTGTGACAAGATATGCGACTAGCACCACAATAAATATGCGTCAAACAACAAAATTTCAAAGTAATGGAAGCAGTTGTAAAATTGCTCTACAGATCACCGTCCTAGTGCCAGCGTGGGACTCTTAAACAGAGCTGTGCACGATGGTCCCCCGGCGAGACAGGGGGTTGGGGCAGGCCCAACAAGCCGCCCTGAAAAAAAAACATAAAGTTGCAAATACTGAAGAAATAAATACGGATCGGAACAATCGGCACAGACCTACGCAACGAAATAAGGACTACGTTTGGAAACTCGGAACATGGAACTGCAAATCGCTCGCCTTCCCGGGCTGCGATAGGTTAATCTATGACGAACTTCAACCATGCAACTTCGAAGTCGTAGCACTGCAGGAACTTTGCTGGACGGGACAAAAGGTATGGAAAAGCGGGCATTGAGCGGCAATTTTTTACCAGAGCTGTAGCACCACCAACGAGCAGGGAACCGGCTTTGTAGTGCTGACGCTGAGTAAGATGCGCCAACACGTGATTGGTTGGCAGCCGATCAACTCGAGGATGTGCAAGTTGAGGACTAAGGGCCGTTTCTTCAACTACAGCATCATCAACGTGCACTTCCAACACGAAGTGAGACCAGACGACGAGAAAGAAGCGTTCTATGCGCAGCTGGAGCAGGTGTATAACGGCTGTTCGCAACGGGACGTCAAAATCGTCATCGGCGACATGAACGCTCAGGTAGGACGGGAGGTAATGTATAGACCGGCAATCGGGCCAAAGAGAGGAAAGGTTTCAAGTAAAGGCAAAACGTCGAAAGTAAATTCGGAGGAAGTGGCTGAAAGGGTAGATGTGTCAATAGTGGTCACGGAAGCTACAGTGAAGGATCAAACCTTGGCTGGTCGGACTTGCAAATCCTGCAAAGGTGCAGATACTGACGAGATGGTTCAGTGTGATAAGTGTGACAAGGGGCATCACTTTGGCTGTGTTGGAGTTACCGAGGAGGTAGCGGACCATAGTTGGAGATGTCCAAAGTGCGTTTCGTAAAATGAGCACAGCGAACGGGATCTACTTCCAGCAAACGACTTCAACCAACCGGTGTCGCAAATGATAGCACGGAGATACAGGAGCATGAGAAGTCGGACAGTAAGAAAGTTGACGGAAGTGTGGCATCGAGTATCCAGTCGTCGTCATCACGGAAATCGTCCAGGACCCTTTTGAAGCTACAAATGCAGCAGCTAGAGGAGGAAGAAAAGTTGGCGAAGCAGTTTCTTGAGAAAAAGTACGCACTTTTGCAGGAGGCAGCCAGCGCGGTAGGAGTTCAACGACTAGTTCCAGCTTGAGAAGAGTACGAGACTGGCTAGTGTCAACAACACACGTCGACAAGAAGGTGGTAGGGTTAACTACCCCATTTTCGGCCTATTAAGCACAACCCGCACTTAGTCTTTCTTAATCTAGCGTAGTTTAGCACCAAACGGAATGTTATTATTACTGATGGCTTCCAAATTTATTTACTTTTCCGTACAGACCGCAAGATTTGATAAAGAGAAACCTATCGTTGATATATTGTCAAAAGTCTAACACTGCTTATTTACGCCAAACTCGGCCTACGGATTCTAAACTCGGCCTAACGCATTGGAACGCAATTGAAACGCCAATGAATTCACTTCGGCCTATCGGATGAAGATAAAAATTGATTCGGTTGAAGCGATTCTTTTGTTTTTGGAAATAATGGGTGCAAACCTTCATATCACGCGTTCTCATTGACTTCTTTCGGTAGCTTATTAACTAAAGTATCGTACCAAACGCATAATTAACTTGTTAACTCTGAAATCATGGATTTATTTGATGTTTTCTGCTCGATAGGCACAAAATGGACGATTAGGCCGAAGTAGTTCACTACCCTATGTTGAAACCGGATGCAGATGTCTTCGATCCACAGCGGCACTCCACGCAGAATCCAGGAACGTTAGTAGACATGAATCTGTTAGCAGCACCGAGAGAGCATCCAATTCCAAGGAAGTAGCACTACCTACGGAAGAGCAGCTTGGCGCAGCTTCTCTTGAAGATGGCTGGAGGGACATCCGTTCCGCCAAAGGTAGTACTGCTGCAGCGGCACTAGGTACTGCAATCCCGGACCGAAGAAATGACTGATTTGACGGCGAATGTAAACTGTTAGTAAAGGAAAAGAATGCAGCACGTGCGAGAATGCTGCAACACCGCACAAGATTGAATGTGGAGCGATACAGCCAATTGCGGAACAGACAAAACTCGGTTTTTTGAAGGAAGAAGCGTCAACAGGAAGACCGAGATTGCGAGGCGATGGAAAATCTGTAACGCGTAAACGTCACACGGAAGTTCTACGAGAAGCTAAATAGTTCACGCAAAGGCAACGTGCCGCAAGCAGATATGTGCAAAGACTTGGACGGTAACCTTCTCACGAACGAGTGTGAGGTGATTCAGCACCTCAACGGTGAAGCTGCTAAAAACGAAGGTGGCACGGCAACAGACCTTGGAGCACGCGCAGAAGACAACAGCCTACCGGCCCCTGATCTTCAAGAAGTTGAGGAGGAGATCGGTCGGCTGAAGAACAACAAAGCAACTGGTGTAGATCAACTACCAAGTGAGCTATTAAAATACGGTGGTGAAGCACTGGCTAGAGCGCTGCACTGGGTAATTGCCAAGATTTGGGAGGAGGAGATATTACCGGAGGAGAGGATGGAAGGTGTCGTATGCCCAATCTACAAAAAGGGCGACAAGTTGGATTGCTGCAACTACCGCGCGATCACACTGCTGAGCGCCGCCTACAAGGTACTCTCCCAAATTCTATGCCGCCGTCTGTCACCATATGCAAGAGAGTTCGTGGGGCAATACCAGGCGGGACGTGCCCACAAATCATTTGTTCATCGATTTCAAATCCGCATACGACACAATCGATCGAGATCAGTTATGGCAGATTATGCACGAGACTGACGCAATTGGTCAAGGCGACGTTGGATCGAGTGATGTGCGTTGTTCGAGTATCGGGGACACTCTCGAGTCCCTTTGAATCTCGAAGAGGGTTACGACAAGGTGGTGGACTTTCGTGTCTGCTATTCAACATCGCGTTAGAAGGTGTGATCAGAAGAGCTGGGATAGACACGAGGGGCACGATCTTCAGGAAGCATATCCAGCTTCTTGGCTTCGCCGATGACATTGACATCATGGCACGGAACTTTCACGGCGAATGAGAACAACCCAAATTTGAGTTTAGTTCACTCATAATCGTCAAAAGTGCAGGAACTCAGCGATGAGTAAATTTGCCTTATGTTTTCCCAGGTTTTTCCAGAATTTTCCAGGGAAAAATTCCCGAATTTGAGAAAAGTAGAGATTGGATTCACTCAGTCTATTGGTACTACTCCGAGACTGAATAAAATTTTCGTCAATTTCCTCATTTTTCGGCAGATTTTTTAGGTTTTCCACAGGAAACCATGGGACAAATTTTACTCATCGCTGAGTTCCTGCACTTTTGGCGATTATGAGTGAACTAAACTCGAATTTGAGTCGTTCTCATTCGCCATGTTGAGACGATGGCGGAAACGTACATCAGACTGAAGGCTGAAGCTAGGCGGATTGGACTTGCCATCAACACATCAAAGACAAAATACATGAAAGGAAGAGGTTCTAGGGAAGACAATGTTAGCCTCCCACCCCGAGTTCAGATTGACGGTGACAAAATCGAGGTGATGGATGAGTTCGTGTATTTGGGCTCATTGGTGACGAAAATGATACCAGCAGAGAAATTCAAAGATGCATTATGGCAGGTAATCATGCCTACTTTGGACTAAGAAGGACGCTCCGGTCGAATAAAATTCGCCGCCGCACGAAGTTGACTGTCTACAAGACGCTGATTAGACCGGTGGTCCTCTACGGCCACGAGACATGGACTATGCTCGTAGAGGACCACCTTGGTGTTTTCGAACGGAAGGTGTTGCGTACCATCTACGGTGGAGTGCAAATGGATGTCGGAACGTGGAGGAGGCGAATGAACCACGAATTGCACCAGCTGCAGGGAGAACCATCCATCGTCCACATTGCAAAAATTGGGCGACTACACTTCGCAGACTACGAGGCTGGCGAAGTGTGGCCATGGATTGAGTATAGTGGAGACGGCTTCTTCGGACAGCAGAGGACAACAAGGCCTGATTGGTAAGTAAGTAAGGGTGATAGTACCCCTGTTATAGGAATCCGAAGAACCCGTTTCATCAACACCATAAATCGTTTGCGGATCGCAATCTAACATCTCCACATCAACGAGGTCATGGAAAGTATGCCGATCAGAAACAGAACTTTGTACGGGAAGTCGATGATATTACAAAAAGTGTGGAAATTCGAGAGCTATTTCACCTGAATGGAAAGCGTTCAACAACCGCAGCAGTAGGGGGGGGGGTCCATCTCCGTTTGATTATCGATGCTTGAGCGAATGAATACTCAGTATGGACGTGATATTAATCATTGCTCCCAAGTCGTATATTCTCATTTCTAAAATCATCTTATTTATTCACTATTTACAAAATTCTACACCACAGTACGAGTTCCTGTTTGCGCACCCCACCGTCGTCTTTGCTGTTGACTCGAGCGAAGTGAGCGCATTTAGCCTAACTATACCACGTAAATTTTAAAATAACAAGACGTGCCTCTTTAGCCAATCCTCCCGGTAGATGGCACAATCGATTGTCGAAGCGATTAACCCGAATGACGATTAAAACAGCAATACGTATGAGAATGATATAAATTAAATTGTGTTTTCCAAAACTAACTTCATGTGGCGTGGAATGCAAGCATTATCACATTTTAGGACTCGTTTCGTTAACAGGTGTTTGCGATTGATAGTTCTTTTTTTTTAATACGTGGAATTCTAGATAGATTACGAGTAAGCATTGTGACCAAGAACAAAAATAAATAGGCTTTAATCGTAAAATTCACAGTCTTATCAGTACACCATCCTATGGACTCAATTTCTCGTCGCAGACATTCACTCAATCGCTCACGTACTCCATCGGCTCAATTTCGCACTGCTACTTCCCCGCTTCCGATGCGTCGTTGGGAATTAGCCTCGCATTGAGCAAAATCTCATAGTAAAAACAACAGCTAGCTAATTGCTAAACAAATATGACTTGATTCCCGTTAACCAGATATTAACCCGTTTGCCGTTCATCTACCGCTAAACCTGTAGTAGCTCAGATCGTCCGCCTGTGGAGCCGGTGGTTGGAACGCCGTCGTAAAACTCTTCGCCGCTCCCTAAAAGCAAATGGCAAAATGTAATTAGGAAATCTTACAATCTGTGGATCACGACCCATCATACCTGCAGCGCTACTCCCAGGAACTGCGAAACGGCTCGCGTAACTCCTATTGCAGCGTTCAACAACTGCCCACCTGGATTGATCGCGCCGAATCCACCGAACAACGATGGCGGTTCCTCCGTTACGCTGGGGTTGATGGGTTTCTGAAAAATCAAAATTACCCTTGTCAAAATCCTCTTATGAAATGATCGTCCCAAGAAGACTTACGGCATCCGGATCCAGTCCTTCGTCGCGGAAGGATTGTGACTGTGGCTGCCGTCCACCGCCTCCAACACCGCCACTCAGGCCGAACGTACTGGCCGGTGGGGGCGAAGCAATCAGCGATGATCCGGGAGTTCGCGGCCGAGTTTGTGGAGCGGTAGCCTGCCACTCGCGCCACAACCAAGATAGACTGTCAAGAATCGGTCGGGAGGATCGCACCGGTGGTAGCTCCGGAGGTCGAACGACTCGTGGACGTGGCCGAGCCGTTGTGATAATCGGTTGCACAGTCGGCACCTGGTTTCTATTGCTGCGAGGTGAAATCTTGGCCAGAATCTCCTCTAAGTTGGCATTGGTATTGGCCGGTCCGATTCCCCGTTGCTTCAGGACGTTTGCGAGGATAGCTTCGTTGGATTTTCCGTACAGTTCCGTGGATTCACCTACAGCGGGACTAGAGTTGTGCTGTTGCTGTTGCTTCAGAAGGAGCTGCTGGAGAACAAGTGGATCCACTGACGGCGGACGACGGGTTGTGGTGGTTGTTGAAGTCGTGGTAGTTCTGGGAGCCGGAGCTAATTGTTTGGTGAGTGTAGGAAGATCCTTACTACTTATGGGGCGCCCCAAAAGGCTAGACAAGAGACGGAGATCGTTGTTGTACGATTGCAGCTCATTATCGAGCTGTTTCTTGGTCTGTTCAACTTCCACGGGTGATAGCGTTGGTGGTTTCTGAGTCGTAGCAATACCGTTAAACTGGTCTCCAATTGGAATACTCTTGGGGTCACGGTTGATCGCCAGCTGCAGGATTCGGTTTGCCAGGGAGCTGTCCACCAATGGATTGGGCGTAGCGAAGTTCGGTAGTTTACGCTATAATGAGAGTTTTGATCAGCGTTAAGGTTTTGTGGAAAATATGACAGTGGAAACCTACCACGTCGTTCAGGAAATCTTCATCATCCTTATCGACAATTATCGTGCTCAAAGGCACGGTCGTTGTTGGCCGAGGAGTTGTTGTTGTTGGCCTCGGAGTGGTTGTGGTTGTCGTTGTGGTAGTGGTGGTGGTGGTTGAAGTCGTGGTTGTAGTTTTAGGCCTCTTCGTAGTCCGCCTGGTAGTCTGGCCCGGAGTTTGACCTCCATTCAGGAATTTTGCCAATTGACGCTGAAAAGGGAACCGTTAGTGCATTGAAGGATAGCAGCAGGTCAATCGTATGAACTTACCAGGAATGCCAAATCGTCATTATCAGAATAGGTTGTGGTTCTGGGCCGCTGAGTAGTCGGAACGAAGAGCGAATTCTGACTGGGACGACTGTTGTCCAACGATTTCGGACGAACCGTCGTGCGTATGGTGGTGGCAGTGGTTGTAGGTCTTGGAGTGGTCGTTGTAGTCGTGGTCGTGGTTGTAGGTCTGGGAGTAGTCATTTTCGTAGTGCTTCTTGTTGTTGTTGTTGTTGTTCTTGTTGTTGTAGGGGAACTCCTGGCAACCGTCGTAGGTTGCGTAACTGCCTTAGTAGCTGCAATATCCCTTTGATTTGCTGCTAGGAATTGCTGAAGAAGTTTAAGATTCGATTCCAATTGGTCAGTTTGTGAGTTTCTCCTTGATGGTTTAGTGGTCGTTACAAAGGATGAGCTCCTGAACGTTGTAGTGGGAGCAGGAGTCGTCGTTGTCGTTGATGTCGTAGTGGTTGTAGGCTTTCTGGTCGTTGTAGTTGTAGTAGTTGTAGGCCTTGCGGTCGTTGTAGTCGTAGTGGTTGTAGGCTTTGTGGCCGTGGTAGGTTTAGGAGTCGTACTGGTTGTCGTGGTGGAAGTCGTCGTGCGCTCCGTACTAGTCGTCGTAGGCTTTTCAGTGACAGGAAGTAACGTAGAAGTTATGAAATTGTTAAGTTCTGAAACTTCCGTCTTTGTTGCGATTGACTGATCGTTTGCGTTCGAATCAGAAGAGATGCGCAGATCAACGTCACTGGGAATTTGGGTGGATAAATCAGGCTGCGACGTAGAAACTATACGTTCCAACGACGACTCCGTACTCAGCATTGGTACACTTTTGAACTCGACAATATTATCGGGAACTGTATTGTCAGCGATAGCTATGTCCTCCGTACTCGAGACTACAGCGATAGTTTCCTCACTCTCTGACGTCGGTCTCCACCGGTAGATCAAATCCGGAGCGTTCGGCCGATTGATACGAACTTCTTCCGAAGGTTTCGTCGTCTGTAAGTATAACATACGTAGACGCTCAAGCCTCCCAGGAAAATCTGAAATAACTTACCGTAAAGTCTATATCCAGTGAAATCTTTGTCGGTCCATCGGACTTCTTCGAGCCGGCACCCTTCGACCGACTCATCGCCAGGCTGAATACATTGTCCGACTTGACCTTGGTTTCCAGCTGCTTTTCATCGTTGTACTTTCTCAATAGCTCAATGATTGCTGTAGTGCCCTGTGATCCCCAAAAAAACAAGAAGAAGGCTGGTTAACACAATCTACCCTCAAACACTACAAGATGTGCACTACAGTCTAAGAGAAGCGGCAATGATTAGACAACGTTTCTAACGTTCTACAGAGTGGTGATTGGTGTGAGTGCGGAAGCGAGATGCTGGTTGGAGTTTTAGTGAACATGCGATCAATGTGAATGTGGATTAACGACGTGTCTACGGTGTATGGGTAGTAATTTTGAGGCATGCTTCTCCGATCGTGCAGTTCGGAGCTAAAACTAGATAAAACTGCATTGAGACGACTACTACTGAGTTGCGCAAAGCGAACTAAGGACGTGACTAGAGCGTAAACTTGATTTTCCGTAAGTACCGTAGCTTCTTTCGGAATGGAAGTGGTAGTAGTGGTACTAGTTGGGGATGCAGTGGTGGTGGTTGTAGTGCTGGTGGAAGATTCTCGGTAGATTGCACTGTTGGGGTCCCGTAGTTGCCGGGGATCGATATCGGTGATTTCGACGCGCCCCCGCTGGCGAGGACGATCTGGAACGATCGTGCCATTCGGGTACCGACGGACGATGGTTCCGTTTGCGTAGATGCCGTAGACAATTCGAGCGTTCTCGGTAGTCGTGGATGGCTCATCGTCGTCACCTCCGATGATTCGCCGGATAACTGTATTGTTCGGGAGGATACCGTAGACTACGATTCCACGCGATCTGGGTTTCGGCGTGGTTAGTTCGGTGGTGCGGGAGGTGCTTGTGGCCAGAGACGGTGCACTGGTGCTGGTGGTGGTGCTAGAGGTGCTGGTGGTGGTGGTGGTGGAACTCTGTGTAACCCCGACAATAGGAGGACGCACGATGAATCTTGGGTGGTACTCGGGGGGAGTTTCGGACGTTAGGATTCGCACACGGGGGGTTACAATGTAGGGGGACCGAGGGGGAACCGACGTGGCATCGGAGGAATTTTGAAACGATTCGGTAGTCCTACTTACGGTCATTGGGGCCGATGTCACGATCGTGGTGATGGTTGTCGGGTCCGACTCCGTGGTTGTCGTTGGTGGCTCGGCGGTCGTTGTAATAGTACTCGTCGGTAGTTCGGTGTGAGTCAGTGGTGGTGATTTAGTAACGTTAGTGTAAGCGAGCGATTCCGAGACACTTTCCGTAGGCGGTAAGTTTGTAAGCATAGCACTACTGTTGTTGTAGTTGATGTTGTTGGTGATGGTGGCGAAGGCGGTTGTAGTGGTGGTGATCATGGAGGTGGTGGTATCAATGGAACTAGGAGTAGCAGTGCTAGGCATGAAAGTGTTTTCTAGCTCGCTGGGCGTGGTAGATGGCGCATGCTGTGCTCCCGAATTGCTATTGCGAACGTCCAAGGCGAACGTCGTAGCCGCTGTTACGGTCGTTGGGACCGGAGGAGTCGTTGTTGGATAGGTCGAGGGATCAGCGCTTTCGGTTAGTGGCATGTTAGTGAGCGACTTCGTTAGCATGCTCTCGGTAACGGCAGTGGTCATGGTAGTTGTAGGTTCCTGAGCAGTGACCGTAGTAGGAGTAGTGGTTGTTTCTGGGGATCTTGGGGTCTGAGAGAAAGGAAATAGGTCGTTCAAAAAAGGATCGCTAGCACTGACGGCTATGGAGCGTTCGGTGGAGGTTGGGATCGGGACTTCGACTTCTTCGGATTCCAGGAATCTTGGTCGGAAAACACTTTCTAGATCATTGTTGTTAATGAGTTCACCCGTTTCGGATAACATGCTTGATTCGGGGCGTACGCTGTCCACCACCGCCGTAGTGGGCCAGACGCTAGTGGTCCCCTCTGTAGGAGTATTATTTACAATAGTGGTAGTATCGATTGGGTCACTAGTATATACAGATGCTGTGCCCAGTGCGATAGGCATAGCAGAGGTGCTACCAACTTCCGGTACCTTGGCCGAAGGCTTTCGCAACGTGCTTGGCTTGGGCGTAGTGGTGGTGGTGGTAGTAGTGGTGGTAGTGGTGGTGGTGGTCGTAGTAGTTGTCGTCGTAGTGCTAGAAGAAGAGGGAGGTGCCGGTGCATCGGTGCTAGAAGACAAAAAAGATAAACTTTCTGTTGGCTGCGAGAGGATCTCCGAGAGGGCACTAAAGATCGACACGGTCACCGAGGGTACGTGGTTCGGCGTGTCGACATCGATACGACTCTGGGTCAGCCCGGCGGCCACCGGTTCCACCTCGCGCTCGCTTCCACTCTCATTGCCATTCTCGTCCGAGGAAACCATCATCTGTCTACTAGGATGGCTACGGTCGAGCAGCAACCCTCCTCCTCTTCCTTCTCCCAAGATGATTTCTTCATCTTCTTCTTCACCCTCGTCGGCGTCGACATCGATTTCGTTAGCAAGTGCTGCCGCACTGGAAGAGTGGTGGAAGGTGCCGTTGGCAGCGGTGTTGGTGGTGGTGATGGTTTTGGTGGTGTAGGCGGTGGAAGCGTTAGCAGTCGTTAGCAAAGAGTGGCCTTCAAGTCTGACCTTTGCCTGAAAGGAATGCAGGTAAGTCGGTATTGATCGGTTTAGAGAAACAAGAACAAGTTCAAGGAAGCGTCTAGATGTAAGCACAATTATCATTTACATGTAAGTATAAATATATGTACAGTTCGGATCTCCGCAATAAGATCGTGCCGTCGCGCGTCATTCAAGCATAAAACGAATTTTCCGACGCTTGACTGACTTTGTGTGTACGGTCTTACTTAGGTGTTTCAATGTTCTTCATGTGATTGTGTACTCCAAATTGAATCAAATTAGGGCAAGGTATAGTTCCACAGACAGAAAGAGAGACAGAGGAAAGGTTAGGACGAAGAAAAACTAGCTACTTTCCCGGCGAGAAAGGATACGAGAGAGCAGATAGAGGCGGATAGAAATAGCCAAACGTGCTTTAGTGTCGCGACGGTGGTGGTGGAGGTGGTGGTGTTTTCGCCCTGGAATAAGAAAAAAACAAGGAGCAACTGAATCGTTGGGCTGCGGCGGCGGCGAGTAGAAGTAGAACTAACGATAGTTGTTGCAGTAAAACTAATCGAGTTGCATAAAACTTAATATGCATAAAAGATATTGCTGAGTGTGTGCGAGGTGCAGCAACTGGCAGCTGCAGCTTGCATTTGGCACGGGCTCACGGCTGCCTCGTGGTGATGCGATGTGGTGAATAAATAGGATGAAAGTTTAATTTTACTACTGATAGGAAGCAACGCGGGCTGCTACTTACAGACCAGTCACATTCATACATACAGGCATACATACAGCTTCGCGTTTAATTTTTCCCCTGGTAAAGACCCATTCTACGTTAGGTACTATGGGTTGTGAGGTGAGCTAGCAATCTAGCGAGTTTGCACTCGTTTATTAGTCAAATGCTTTTGTTCTAGATCGTTAGTATAGCTACAGCAGAAGTGTAGTTTTAATTATGCCACAAGAACGGTGTACTTACGTTTAGCGAATGATGATACATATGAATCTAAATGAATGCCAAACAAATCTACTTCTGCTACTGCTCATAGTATCGAACGCAAGAGGATGGATATGAAATTAAGAGAACTTTACCTTAAGATTTGAATTAGATATTTCCATGGTTTCCCAGAAGATTGGGTATACAGTTAAGTACATTGGTCTTCGAGATCAAGAGTTAAACACCGATATTACAGTTATTTTTTATGAAGCATGTTCTAGCTGCGAAAAGGTACTCAGGTACCTATTGATCCATTTGGTCTGCTAGTACCCGAGCAGGAACGAATATCTCAATACCTTCAGTAGGTGTGGATGAACCCGACATAATAGGTAAAATACCAAAGAATTAGACCAAAAAAATATCCCCACAATATCATTCCAATACCAAATTAAGTAAATGCAATACCAAAACGATACTACAGAGGTATTCTTTTGGTATCCAAATATCAATTTTTGTTATCTCGATTGTATTTTTCATACAATTATTTGGTATTTTACCTCTTATGTCAGGCTGATAAATTCCAAATTTTGGCATCAGGAGCAGAATTACTTCTTCATAAGTTATTTTCTCCTGCTCGGGTATCCATGCAGAAAACCAGTTTTTGTTACATTGAAACGATGAACTGTTCCGTAAATCTTGGAAAAAATGCTCATTAACTGCGTAGCTACTCAGATTTACTTTCGTGAATGTGTTATTTTTTATAGTCAGAAGAGCGGAACGACGGGCACGCGTTCAGAATTAATGAAGCTTCTTTTAGAATCTTCTTCAGTAAAAGCTTATAAAGAATATAATTAAGAGCTACAGAGGGGGTGACCCCGGCGTAATGGTTAACATTCAATCCTCTCACGCCAAAGCCACGAGTTCAAATCTCACCCCCGGACAAGTCACGAATGACCCAAGAGTTTTAAAGTCACTATAAAAAAGAAAATAAATAAATAAGAGCTACATCCCATGTTACTGGAGCGCAACTAAATCGTACGCCCATTTAAAGATATCCCAGCGAGCGAAATTTGACTGGTACAGTGGTTGAGGTACTCAAACCAGTGCTGAAAATTGTCACCGTCACTGCATAAGTTGTAGCTACTATGACAACCATTGCAACATCGCCATCAACCAACGTGTGACAAACCAAAAACTGTATCATAAGTGCTTCATTCACTGCTGATAGACAGTGTGTCATTTTGTATTGACGTTCAAAGCGTGTTGCTAGTCTTCTCACTATGATCGTCAAGACAAGAAATATCATGTCACTACGGTTTTCGTATAGGACACTCATCCTGCTCAGTTTATAAAAGTGTTTTGTTCGAACAAGCATAACCGTCTGGTTTTTTTTCGTGTTGGGAATTTCGATCACTGCAACCAGTACTTAGATCTAGGTATTGTGATATGTTCCCCGCTTTAATATTGCTTTATCAGCATGTCGTATCACCATTTTATGAAGCGACCGACATAGGTTGACCGAAAGCATTTTCCCAGTCAGGTATTACATTTTGAATGAATTGCACTACTTGGCTGGGAACTGAATTCCAAATATCAAAGAGTTCTGTCAGCCCCTTATCCAGAAAAATACGCCTCTTATTGAAGATTGCTGTACAAGAGCATAGCAGGTGTTCGGAGTCTTCTTTTTCTATGCCACATAATCGACACATGTCATCTGGAAGTTTTCCTATTAGCTTCAAGTGTTATTGACATGGACAGTGCCCTGTTATTAAACCAGTGTACATACTGAGATCTTTCTTTGATGGTTCAAAAATTTTGCTAGTCATTGAAATACTCGGATTAATAAACCGTTTCGACTGCCTAGCAATGAGAGAGTTGTTCCAATTGGTCTCCACTTTCATTTTTTCCCATTTCTTGAACTCCATTCTAAGAGAGCAAGCAGAAACTCCACAGAATGGTTCTGGTCCTATAAATTGTTGAGATGATCCAAGCCTAGCTAGTGTGTCGGCTTTCTTATTCCCTTGAATTCCACAATGGCCAGGAACCCAAAATAGGTTCAGGCAGGCCAATTTTTTGAGTGAGATTGCGCATTCCCATACAAGTTTAGAATTACATGTTGCTGATTTCAAAGCATTTAGTGCTGCTTGGCTATCAGACATAATGCAAATATTCGAATGTCTATAATTTCTACGCAAGCACATTTTAGAACATTCAAGAATTGCTTGGACTTCTGCTTGGAACATGGTAGGCCAGTAGCCCATAGATATTGAGATATTTATACCCCTGCTCCTACACGATTATCCAATCTAGATCCGTCTGTATAAAAGACAATCGATCCTGGACGAATGTTTGGCCCCCCATTGTCTCACAAATCGCGATCCGCATCTGCTACATTGTAAAGACGATCGAAGTGATATTTTCTCTTCATCCAATCTTCATTTTGTAACACAATAGAATCAATATTGAACATTTTTAGGATGCTCATATGTCTTCTAAGATCAAGGAAGTGCTGCGACCGTCGAATCCTGAATTCACTCCTTTCGGCTTCCAATTGAATAAATTGATGCAACGTAAGCAGATAAAGTAGAGCATCTAGTGCCATACTTGGTGTGCTGCTCATTGCACCATTTATTGAGAGAGTAGGTAGCCTTTGCAGCCTCCCAGCTTCTTCTGAGCTGATTTTTCATTGATTTTAGACCACCAAGCCAATGATGCATAGGTTATTCTGGATCTTACAATCGTCAAATAAATCCAGTGGATCATTTTAGGTTTCAGTCCCCATTTCCTACCAAAAGTGTTTTTTTTTACTTATCCAAAGAGCATTTGTTGCCTTACCAATGACTTGCTCTAGATGCGAATTCCAATTTAGTTTGCTGTCAAGTGTAACTCCCAGATATTTGACTGTGTTTGAAAGTTCTAAAAAAATTCCTTTCAGTTTAATACTATTTATGGATTTTTTTTTTCTTCGTGTGAATGGTACAATAGTTGTTTTAGATGGATATTCAATCCTTCGCTAGTGCACAACGATGAAACATAATTTAAAGCAATTTGCATTCTACTTGAAATGACATAGTATATTTTCCACGCACTAATATGACTATATTATCTGCGAAGCCAATAATCTCGAAGACCTGTGCTTCTAAGTTTTTGAGAAGGTCATCAACTATTAAAGACCACAGTAGAGGTGAAAGAACACCTCCTTAAGGACACCCTTTTACAGCTCTTACTGTTATGGATGAGCTTAGAAGGCTTGCTAAGATTTCTCTTTTGCTAAGCATTTCGTTAATCCAATTAACTATGCTTTTATCGAACTCATGTTTTATCATAGCGTTTTCCATTGAGTGATAAGATGCATTATCAAATGCTCCTTCAAAATCAATGAACGCTGCTAGGGAAATTTCATTTGATTCAAAGGATTTTTTCTAGTTTTGTAACCAGCGTATGAAGAGCTGGTACATTTGATTTACCAGTTTTATATGCAAACTGATATTTATTAAAAGGAATTGTAACCAAGTACTTTGACTTTATATACTCATTAGACTGATGCAAAATTTGAAATTTTCGCTCCACAGTGCTTAAACGGTTCCAAACTGGGCCCTGATTGGCCTCTCAAAATTTGAACTCATTTAGTGAGAAACTGACTTGGCACAAACCATTTGAAGTTTATATGGGAATTACTATGGAGAAACCATAATTTCGATTCATATGTATCTCAAAATTCACCAGTTCACTCTACTTTAGAGAATGATAGCTGAGCTTCTTGAAAATTTTCACAGCTACAACTTTGTTGAAGACTAGTTTTCGATCAAATGTAAGGAACAAAAGTTATTAATGATTCAAGTCACTGATGTCTTATGATTATGCTCAATCATCTGTTCAGCAGGCAACATTGGTGTTTATGGCGCGTAGAATAGAGGACAAAAACCATGGCTACTATGTCACACTGCAGAATACAGTGGTGCTCACAATACAGTTGCTTTATCTTGCCATAAGATTATCAATCTCTTAAACAATTAATAACTATTTAATTTGACATTTGGCTGAAAAACGATTTTATGCAAAGTTGTAGCTGATGAAAATTCCCATAAGAATAGCAATAGAA